GGGCTCTGAAAGGAAAAGGAAAGGGAGGAGGGGGAAAGGAAAGAGAACCCCATTTCCTATGTTTGTCCCTCCGACACTCCCTGCCCCCTAACCCCCCCACCGCACACCCTCCCCCATAAGGTGATGCTAATCTACACTAAGGCAGGTCTCCCTCTTTCCTCCTGCTGACTCCCAGCCCATCTGGTCAGGGAGTACTCTAACAAAAACAGGAATTTAGAAACAATGTTTCATAAGCCTTGCAGACATCCTTCAACCTAGTCAAGTTGACATCCAATATTAACCATCACACTCACTTAATATATAATACCTAATTTTTTTTTAGAGAGAGAGAAATTTTTACCATAGGGCTCATGTGCTCCCCAGAGAGAAAGAGATAGAGAGATGGAAAGTGAGAAATCACCCCCCCCCCGCCCCGGGAGGAATGGCCACACTGCAATCCCTTCACCTCCATTCTCCTCTTGGGATTTCTGGCACTCACACACACTTAAGCCCCCAGGTCCGGCACTCAATCGTGGTTAGCTAAGTGAGAGTTCAGTGATATAATCATTACACCATCTGCTGGTCCCTATAATACATTTTTTCTTTTAGTCATTGTCATTTCATTTATACCTGAGTCCAAACCCTAGCCACGGCTTAACATCTTTTTCCCTTCCTAGTCCCACCTTACTACCTCTCTTATCCCCTTCCCTACCCACCCCCCATACTCAATTAGTTCCATCTACTACTTATCACTCATTCTAAATTTTCAGTTTAATTAATTAATTAATTTTACTTCACGTCCTTTTTTTCTTCCTGGACCAGCTGCCTATAGATAATACCATGACTCATTTCCTTCAGATTTCTTCCCAATACCTATCTATTTCTTCCTATTCTGTTTATTCCCAAAACTCCTATTTATCCCTTCTCCATGCACTTACCTATCACTACATACTATTTAAAAGGAAATTTTAAATAGTCTTACCTACCACTAAATGTAATGTTCTTATTTGTTTATATCCTGCCCCAGGCTCATTTATTCATCTGACCTAGAAGACCCTATATATATATATATATATACAGGAGAGGTTTTTTGCTATAGGGTGCGTGCGTGTGCCAGAAAGACACAGAGAGAGACGAAGAGATAGAAAGTGAGAAATCACCCCCCAGGAGGGATGGCCATGCCGCAATCCCTTCTCCTCCATTCTCCTCTCGGGATCTTGGGCACACACGCACACGCGCCCAGCGTGAGTTTAAGCCACTGGGTCTGGGACTCAACCTGCAGTCGACTACATGGGAGTCCAGCAACATAGCCATTATGCCAAATGCTGGTCCACCACCCAAAGCTATTTCTAATGAATTAAAAAATACACCTGCTCTGAACATTCTCTGAGTGAATTGTGTGTTAATCCTTTATGATAATAATCAAAGGCTAATAAATTTGCATCTTGAGATATTTTCCATTTGTTTTATACTTCATTTTATTATGAAATTATAAGGTAGTATATCTGCAAAATGCACTTACTTTTAAACACTTGTGTCCTTTGTCTTCTGACCTGTGGATAACTCAGGTAAAGATTATTTCACTCTGGGTTTTGGTTTCATCTTGAGGGGGTTTTACTCGAGATGCTGTTATTTAATTCAGAGATCCCAGTTTTATGCTGTTCCTCCTTAAGTCTCTGGCTCATATGAGAGTATGATGGAAATTTACTTTTGAAGAACTCATCAAATTATACCCCTTATTTTAAAGCCTTTCCCTGCTAAAATATTAAAAGGTTATCGTCTCTCTATGAAATATGGCCTTCCAAAAAATGATTCACACACTACATTAATCACATTCCAATACTGTATATTCTCTTATCACATTTATTCAAAAATTTCATTAGAAAATATGGGGTCTATGATCAGATTAATAAATATGGCCATCATTTGGAGTTTAGGAGGCTATAAGGTTGGGTTTAATTTCCCTTCATAGTTTCCTCTTTTTAACCTTTTTAAAAATGAAGCATAATGTATATGTACATAATAGCATATTTAAGTGTATAGCTTGATGGATTTTTGTCAAAGTAAATGCACATGTGTAAAAATCACCAGGTCAACACATAGAACATTTTAAGCACCTTGGAAGATTCCCTTACGCACTTGACTGCCTCAGCCCTTCCAAAAGCTAACCGCTCTCCGAAATTTTAAACCCATGAGAACATTTTGCAGCAGCCAAGAAAATCAGATAACCTGGTTAACCAGATACAAGGATGCATTATAAAACTGGTTATCCCCGTGAAATATTTGTTCCCATGTAAACAAACAGAGCAATGTAAGCAAAGTCCAGAAGTAGATCCACATATACACTGACATTTATGACACATCTTGTATTTAAGAGCAATGAAGAAGCAACATTGATTTTAATAAATGGTGTTATATCAATTTGATTCCAAATAGAATGAAAAGATTGAATCTTATCCCATTCTTCACATCATAAACAATTATAAAATTCCAATGAAACAAAAATTCAAATTCAAATGTTAAAATAATAAATCTTATGGGACCAGCAGTTGGCGTAATGACTATGTTGCTGGACTCCCATGTAGTCTACTGCAGTTAGAGTCCCAGTGGTTTGAATTCATGTGTGTGCATGCATGCCCAAGATCCTGAGAGGTGAATGGAGGAAAAGGGATTGTGGCATGGCCATCCCCCTTTGTGGGTGATTTCTCACATTCTATCTCTCTGTCTCTCTCTGTCTTTGTGGTGCACGCACACGCCCTATAGCAAAAAAACTCTCAAAAAAAACAACAAACCTTATATAGATAAAAACAATGACTATGGGGATCAGCAGTTAGCGTAATGGCTATGTTGCTGGATTCCCACGTAGTCGACCGCGGTTCATGTCCCGGACCCAGTGGCTTAAAACTCACGCGGGGCACATGTGCGTGCATGCCCAAGATCCCGAGAGGAGAATGGAGGAGAAGGGATTGCAGCATGGCCATCCCCTCTGGGGGGTGATTTCTCGCTTTCTGTCTCTCTGTCTCTCTCTGTCTGTCTGGCGAGTGCACACGCCCTATAGCAAAAACCTCTTAAAAAAAAGAATATAAAAAAATGACTATGGGTAGGCAAGTAGCCTTGTAATATTTTATATTACAGACATGTAAAAGTTAAAATGAACTATATCAAAATGAAAAATTTGTTTTTATTAATAGACGCCATTGAGTGAATAAAAAGGTAAGCAATAGAGACGAAAAGTATATTTGTAACAGGTAACACAATGGGCTCATAACCAGAATATAGGAATGACTCATAATTTTGATGCAGTTCAGGTTAATTTTCTTTTATACAATCATGCTTTTGATTTAATACCTAACAATTATTTGATTATCCCAAAGTCACATAGATTTCCTTATATGGTCTATCTGTTTTATTGCCAGGATTTTTTCCTGTTCCTATATTGATAACTGTGAAGGTAATGATTATATGTTATAGGAAACATCACATTTTCAAACTCTATAATCAGTATAAGAAAAAAAAAACTTATCAAACAATATGTATGGCTACATTAACTGACCATTTTATGGGAGAAATCACCACTCAAGAGGGATGGTCCCACCACAATCCCTTCTTTATTCTCTCAGGATTTGGGGCATACATGCAAATGTGCCTGGAATGAGATTCAAGCCACTGGGTCCAAGACTTGAACCACGGTTGGCCATGTGGGAGTCCAGTGATGAAACCATTACACCATCTACTGGTCCCTTTAATTTTCTTTTTTAACTTTAGTTTTAAAAATATCTTACACAGGGCCAGCAGGTGGCATAGTTGTTAGGGTGCTGGACTCCCACATGACCAACTGTGGTTCAAGTCCTGGACCTGGCAACTTGCTTTCTCACTTTCCCTCTCTCTCTCCCTCTCTCTATGTCTCTCTCTGGTAAGTACATGTTCCCTACAGTACATTTAAAAAAAATAATAGGAATTAAGACAGTCCATAGACTGTTTTCTTCTAACTGGAGAACAATTGAAAATACCGAGTTAATATCTTCATAAAATAAAACATAGACTATTTCTGTGAAATAACTTTCACAGAATAACGGTGATAAACACCCTAAATTCATAAAATCAGCCAGTTACTGTACAATCTTCACTTCCATATCCTGTGCAATGTTCCCTCTTCTCAGATGAGTGTATGTTGGGGAAGTACAAGTTAGTATTAATATATCACTGCCTACAGTTATTTTAAGAGGATCTGATCAATGTGTTTGAATGTTTCCTAGAAAAAGGCGTGTGATAAAATTAGGAAGCTACCGTAAGTACTCTGTAAATGCATTGGTTGACTAGAAAGGCTTTAGGGAGTTCATAGGAAAGGAGAACTCACGCCAAAGTCATGATAGAGAGAAAGGAATTTCAGTGTCTCTCAGAGGAGACCAACACTCCTCTAATGTGCCCATGTGTTTAGCCATGTTTGTTTACTTTGCCTAATATAACACATATCTTTTCATCCAGTTGAACCAAACCAAATACAGGAGTAGGAAACAAATCTGTAATTCTCACCCTGAGTTAAAATTGCAATTTGTTTCTGTGTAATTTAGGCTTTCTGTATAATTTATAATATGCTTGAATATAGTGCTTAATAAATGTTGGCTTGATTCAAACAAACTGCATTATCTGGTTTGCACACAGCATATAAGAATAATTTTCAGTATGGTAAAATCCATGTGTTGCACAGAACACTGCTTTAAGTAACTGAGTTCACCGCAGGATTTAATTTGTTACAAAATATAGTTCCATCAGGTAAAACCTGAAAACAGCAAGGAGTAGCCTATCAGGCCTGGGCTACTCCTCGCTGTAACTGCAAGCCTTTGCTTTCTGAATCACATTAGCCTCAAGCAGACGCACATAAACTAGAACATGTGTTCCCAAGAACTGCTTTGATTATAAAAGAACTCAAGAAGCTTTCTCTGAGTTTCAGGCCAGAGCCCTCACTCACACATAAGCGTGCTGTCTCATGCCACCCAGACTCTGTCCAGGTCATCACTTACATTATTTTTCTGCAAGACCCGTAGTGCCTTGTTGACATTGTTCAGGGCATGAACTCTTGTAGATCCTTTTTCTTTTGGCTGAAAAGAAAATGAAACCATGTTCACAGCCCAGCAGAGAGACCAACAATCTATTAGAAACGAAACAATTTATAAGTTTCACTTTTCAATTTGAATATTTTAAGTGAACACAGCCTGTGAGGCATTACTGTGATGAATCTAAGGGCTTTGAGATAATTGTTCGTAGCATAATACCTGTGTGGCATGAACCACCCATCCCCAAGAATGATAGCTTCTTTTTCTTTCACAAAGGCTATAATCCTGTAGCCTAGTTGGGGATTATTGCATGACCACCAAAGAGAGAAACACCAGCACACAGAAGGACTGTCATAGGAGGAGTCTTCAAAAACTTAATGGAAAAGACATTGTTATAAAAGGACTGTGTATGGGTTTCAATTTTTTTGCAATGAAATTGACTCAAATTTATTTATTTAGCTATAGGGTATGTGCATTCTCTGGAGAGAGACAGAGAGACAGAGAAAGTGAAAAAAACACCCTTCAATGAGAATGGCCATGTCATAATCCCTTTTTTTCCATTGCTCTGTCAGGATTTTGAGCTCACACATACATATAGCTGGTGTTAAATTTGTACTTTAATTCCATTTTTCCATAATTTTTAAACATAGCTATTCCTTGGGATCAGCAGATGGTGTTAACGGTTACATCACTGGACTCCTACATGGCCAACAGCGGTACAAGTCCCAGACCTGGTGGCTTGAAACTCACTCCAGGCACGTGTGCATGCATGCCCAAAATCCCAAGAGAAGGGATTGCAGGGTGGCCATTCCCCCAGCGTGTGATTTCTCGTGTTCTCTCTCTCTCTCTCTCTCTCTCTCTCTCTCTCTCTCTCATCTCTCCAGCGAGTGCATGCACCCTATAGCAAAACATTTTTTTCTAAAAATAATTATTATTCCTTAAAAAAAACACACAAATGGCTATTGCCATGTCCTGGCCAGAAAGAGGGAAAGTGAGAAAGCATCCTCCAGGGGGATGGCCATGCTGCAATCCTCCTCCTCCATTCTCTTCTTGGGATTTTGGACATACACACACACACACACACACACACACACACATATGCATGTGCCTGATGTATTTCTCAAGTCACCAAGTCTGCAACTATCGCCGTGCAGTTAGCCATGTGGAATCCAGCTGCCTTAACCACCATGCCACCAACTGCCCTGTATCCCACAATTTTAAAAATTCATTCCTATGTGTACAAGCTTGTTAAATTTCCACACATTTTAGGAATATTTAAAGAAGATTAGAGTCCAGCAAAATTATATGCAGTCTTTACAAAACCCATGAAAAATAAAAATAAAGTAGGAGTTTATTTTGGTGCAAAAAAGCTTTGAAATTCATGTATGGCCTTTTCAGAATACATGCTTTCCATGAACTGTTTGAAGACCCTTCATGCAATACCAAGTAGGGATAAAGGAAACTATTTGTGTGAATGTTATCTTAATTGCAACTCCAAACCTCAGTCATCTTTGGTTCCCTAACGCTTGCTCTCAATCACAAAAATTATATCTCATCCTGTAATTGTTCAACTAACATCTGTGTAGTTCATTACAACATACGAATTAACTCATTTGTTCAGTTGTGGGGTTTGGGAAATCTTACCAGCATGATACTTATTTACTACCTTGCTAGATTTTTGTTTCCTTTACCTTAATATTAACAGAAGCCAGAACATGTGCCAATCTCTTTTCCATCCCTCTTCACTGTTCCTCCTTGCATTCATCCTACTGGGTTGTCAGATAAGCCATAACATATTTTTTTCTGTTTTTTTCTACGCAAAAATGCACCATGACTTTTCCAACAACCCAATATATATCTTCAACAATGTCGTGAAGCAAGTCCACTGCTAATGGAAATCACTTGCATAGCTTTCATCCCAAACTTAGGGTGCCTATTGATAAAGACATGAGCTACAAAAACTGAACTGCCTGAGTTCAACTTTTCAAACTCTGCCACTTTTGTGCTATGTGACTGCACAAATTTCTTAATCTCCCTGTACATCACTTTCCTCATCTGTTAAAACAGTTAATAATTGTTCCTTCTGATCGTTGGGAGAATTCAATGTATTACTACATGAGGGGACTTGAAAACATGTGTGGAAAATGGGATTAAAGTATGAGTTTATTTTGGTGCAAAAATTGTGAAATCTATGCATAGCTTCTTCATAACAGGAATTTTCCATGAACATGTTGAAGACCCATTTTATAAAGCACTTAATTTGGTGCTTGTCACATAGCAGATACAATATAATTATTTGCTATTATTATTATTGAGCTCATAGTATGTGCCAGGTACTTTGAATGTGCGACTTCTAATTTCTCTTGCAAGGCAAATAGTGTCATCTTCCTTGTACAGACAATGAACTGGACGTTAAGAACTTATATTATATAGCTATACGAGTAATAGTTTGTCTATTTAGGATCTCATCTTCAGTTTGTGCGTATAGAACCAGTCTTTCCAGCTGATTTCCTTCCATGTTCCACTTTTTTCTTTCTTTCTTTCTTTTTTTAAAGATGTTTTTGCCATAGTGTGTGTGCGCACTCACCGAAGAAAGAGACAGAGACAGTGAGAGGGAAAATGTGAAATCACCCCCCAGGAAGATGGCCATGCGGCAACCCCTTCTCCTCCTGGGATCTTGGGCACGTATGCACATGCGCCCAAGGTGATTTCCAAGCCACTGGGTCTGGAATTTGAACCGCAGTTGGCCATGTGGAAATCCAGCGACATAACCACTACACCATCTGCTGGTTCCCCCCATCTTCAACCTTTTGTGTATATCAATCAAGTAATTTGTTTTCTACTTCTTAAGTCCCCCTCACACACACTTTTCAGCATTGTTCTTGTTCTTCTCAAGCAATTCCTCACCTTAGAACACCTTGCCCTTTGCACTGCCTGCCACACTTTCCAAATTAAGCTAAAGCACCCGAAGTGTCACAATGACTCACCTGATACCCTTTACCAAACAGTATTGATGTCTTGCTTCTTCAACTTCTCACAGTTTTTAAAGATAACCTTGTGAAAAAGAATCTCCATGTTTTCCTCCTAGAATATTTTCCTCCAAGATTACCAAAATGATATAGATTTACATTTTGGTATTTTTTCCCTACTTCCCACCACAAAGAGGAGGAAAATAAGGCTACACAGAGCCTTTAGAAGTAAGGAAAAGTAGCCAAAAAATAAATAAATCGTGTGTGTGTGTGTGTGTGTGTGTGTGTGTATTATAGCATGCAAATCTAACAGTAATTTTAGGAATTTAAAGTTCTGAAAATAATTATTGAAGTCAATCCTCTGCCACATATTTAGACAAAATATTACCTGTTAGCTAGTTGATAAGATTTGGCAGCATTTTCCTATGCTTCCATCTCAAACATACAAATATACATGTCTCTATACACATGTGCGTACTTATCAGCACGAAAGAAATTCTACTCTTAAAAAAAACTGCAAGCAGGACCAGCAAATGGTGTAATGGTTATGTCACTGGACTCCCACATAGTCAATCGTGGTTCAAGTCCCGGCCTGGCAACTTAAAACTCACACTGGGGTGCACATATGTGTGTGCCCAAAATCCCAAGAGGAGAATGGAAGAAAAGGGACTGCAGCATGGCCATCCTCACTGGTTTTAATTTCTCACTATCTGTCTCTCTGTCTTTCTCTGTCTCTCTGGTGAACGCATGCATACTATAGTAAAAAATCTTGCTCTGAAAAAAAAGCACTGCAAGTTCTGATCCTAAAGTGGCAGCTAAAATGTATCCTTCTTAAAGTCTCTCTGGGGGAAAATTTCAATGTTCTGGTTGTAAGGCAAATATCTCCCTTTTAACCCTGCAGATGCACTGAGCCAATAATGTATATGCAGATACTTCCAAGTAGGATACTGAAATTTCTGTTCAATAACTTACACTACTTTAATTAGATGTAGAAGATGTATCACTACAGAAACTATTAGAATTCAAGAGGGTCGTTCCCGGATGAGGGATGACAGATCTGTGACTAGAACAAAGAATGGATCACAGATCCGTTAGCAGCAGTATCTGAAATCATGAAGTGAATATTGGTTTGTGTGAATGTTTAGTGATTTATTTTTCCCTACCACTCACCCTCTACTGGTGAACCCTGCAGAACTGTTGTTTGCCATTTTTTCTCCAGTGTCTGTTACTTCTTTGATTCAGTTTTATCTCTGCATCTATGCATGTATGTATGTTTGCATATGGGGACTTCAAAAATTTGTGAAAAATGGAATGAAAATACAAATTTATTTTCGGTCAATTTTGAAATCCATGCATAATTTTTTCTTGATATGTATTTATCGTGAACTTTCTGAAGACTGCTCATATATATGTGTGGTGTGTGTGTATATATATATATATATATATATATACACACATATATATATACATCGATGTATATTACATATCAAATTTTCAATCCTTTGATTTCTTTAAATTTTATTTTGAAGAAATTCATTATTTTATTTATTTATTTATTTATTTTTTTGGAGAGGTTTTCACTATAGGGCGAGTGCGCTCACCAGACAGACAGAGAGAGACATAGAGACAGAAAGTGAGAAATCACCCCTCACGGGGGATGGTCATGCCACAATCCCTTCTCCTCCATTCTCCTCTCGGGATCTTGAGCACACACGCACAGACGCCTGGCGTGAGTTTCAAGCCACCGGGTCCGGGACGCAAACTGCAGTCAACTACGTGGGAGTTCAGCGACATAGCCATTACGGTAACTGCTGGTTCCCAGAAATTCATTCTTTTAGACATTGTACCTATATGAATAGGTGTAAGTCTGACAAAAAATGGTTTGGGTAATGGAAGGATTGACTTAGTCTGTGACATGACCAGAGAGAGTCATGGCACCACTTCTTTAAGTGGTTTTACAGATACTCAGAGGTAGAGACCAATGTCTTGTGCATAGTATGGGTTATAACACCCATAGTAACTGAAAGAATGTTCATAAGCACTTGGAAGACACTGGAATATTTGTGTATAATAATTGAAGGCAGGCCTGAACACAGAACATAGGAAAAATTTGAGACACACAGTCACATGCTTACTAAATATACACACACACAATATATAAGTACATATAGGTACATATAGTGTATTCATATAAAATGTTCTCATGATCATATGGTATGGATAAGTATATACAAATATACTTCTAACCAATGAAATTAAGACTAAGTATACACAATGCACTCAAATTGGCTAAAAGCAAAAAATTCAGATGTGTACCAAGAAATCTGAAGTTTTTACTTGACTGAAGTGATTATTTTAATACATCATCGAATTGTTCTTATATCAGTACAAGTGCAGACTTCTTGAAAATGCATCAGTTTGAAATCAATTTAGCAATACATCAACCCCACAGAACAGTTGAAGAGAATTTAAAAATGAAAGCAAATGGTATGTCTCTTCCATATAAGACTTCAGAATTTAATTGAGGAGTGATGCATAGTTGTACAAACATACACAGAAAATAATTAAATGAAAGTTAAAGACAAAACAAGTTTTGTTATTTTTGGGTTTTTGCCATAGGATGTGAGTGCTCACCAGAGAGAGACAGAGAGAGGAAAAGTGAGCTACCACCCTCCAGTGGGGATGGCCACTCCACAATCCCTTCTCTTCCATTCTCCTCTTGTGACTTTGGGCATGCATGCACACATGCCTGCTGTGATTTTCAAGCTGCCGGGTCTCAGACTAAAACTGCAGTCCCCCATGTAGGAATCCAACACCTTAACCACCATCCCACCAGCTGACCCTCCCAAGCAAGTATATTATGGGATTTAAGAGGGAGAGGAATCGGCAAGTGTGGTGGTGAAGGTGTTGGACTCCCACGTGGTCAACAGTGGTTCAAGCTCAGGACCTGACAGCTTGCTCTCTCACTTTCCCTCTCTCTCTCTCTCTCTCTGGTGAGTGCACATGCCCTCTAACAAATTAAAATAATAATAGTAATAATAAATAAAATAAATAACTCTTTAAAAATAGAAGAGGGAAAAATCAGAAAGAGGATTTGAGAGATGTGTCACTGATAGGAGAAATCAAGGTGTCTGAAGGATGATTGGAACACACAAACATACAGAACGCAATACAGGCAATTAAAACAACATAGGCAAAGACCCATGCATATCTGACAGAATATACAGAGACCAACATGGCTTAGCATAAGAGAGTTGCAGAAGGCAAGTAGCAGGATAGGACTTTTGGCATCTTTGACTTGGAATGTCAACTGAAGTTTGTGTATTATTGACAAAATTTGTGTGTATATGTGTGTATGTGTTAGGGGAATTTTAGTGAAGGTCAAAGAGAAGAAATTAATTCTATCATTTAGCAGACTCATTTCATATGCAGCATGGCTATGACTGTAGATTGGGGACTTAAATTCTACATATAATAATAATAGTAGCAATCTAAGTGCTATGGTCTAGGTAATAATTTTTCTTTCAAAGTTTCATGTTTTGAAATTTGATTTTCAGCATAATGGCATTGAGAAGTGGTGAGAAGTTTGAAAGGTGAGATCTAGTGAGCAGGAGCAGTGTTCCAATCATGGAAGCACTGACCGCATAAATTAACCAATGCTTTCTTGTGAGAAAGAGTGAGTCCTAGCCTCATTAGCAGGGATTAGTTCCCATGAGAGCAGGTTGTTATAAAAGGAAGAGGGCTGCCCCTAGGTCTCTCTCTTTGTACACACCCACTATCTTCTCTGCTTCCGTCAGCCATGTTTAACATAGCACAAGAGGCCAGCCAAATGCCAGCTCCATTTCTTTGGACTTCTGAGCCACAAGAATCATCAAGCAAATAAATCTCAACTATTTAGAAATCAGTCAGTCTCAGATTTTTCTGTTAGCAATACAATAGCAGACTAAGACATTAAGAATAAAATTATTTTAGTAAGGAGATTGGATCCAGTAACTTACCCTTCCCCCCGTTAAGAGACCTTGATTACTGAACTCAGACTCATCTATGATTTTATTACCCTATAAATATATATAAAAATCAGAGCTGTCTCACAAGAATGCTCTGTAGTTAGTTAATAGTTCTCAAAGGGAAATTACATTCTCATCACATATGGTATTGTTTATTAGACTAAAATCCCTATACTTTATTATATTGCCCAATAATAATTTTTTCTTTATTTAAAGCTTATATAGGTTTATTGTAAAATAATTGCAAAATACACAAGAGCGCCAAGATAATTCTAAAGCTTAATATATATATGTAAAACCCTTTATAAAGACATCCACTTAGGTAATAAATAGTAATATATTACTGAATATTTTCACTTCATTTTGCATATGATAGACTATGCAAAATGAAAACAATAATGTGAGATTATTTTATTCAAGAATAGGGCCTGTATTGCTAGTTAAATTAATATTTAGTAAGCTAGATCTTATAAAACCAGTTTATTTCTGGTCTGAAATTCTAAGGTTAATGTTAACTTTCTGAAAAATAAATCACATACCAGTTTTTGTCCTGTCAGGCCTTCAAGGAGGTCTAGGAGGCGTCTCCCATCCTGCAGGTCACTGAAGAGGTTCTCTATGTGCTGCTTTCCAAACTGAAATACAAAATATATCCAATGAAACAAAACAGGTTTCCAAAGATCCATTTCCTTGATTATGTCTTTTAAAATTTTACACTGCATTTAAGAATATTTCATGTACTTAATAATTAATCTGCCAAAGATGATAAATTTTTAAAAAGTAATGCTCAAGTTAAAAAACAAAACTTTTTTTTAGAGAAATTTTTGCCACAGGACACATAAACTCTCCAGAGAGAGACAGAGAGATAGAAAGCAGGAAATCATCCCCTGCCCCCTCCATGGGGATGGCCATGCCACAATCCCTTCTCCAGTCTCCTCTCAGGATTTTGGGCATGCACACACACGTGCTCAACATGTGTTTTAAGCCACTGGGTCCAGCACTCGAACTGAGGTCATCTACATGGGAGTCCAGTGATGTAACCATTGTCATCTGCTCGTCCCAAAACATTAGATTTTTAGGTCAAATTTATTTGAATTGTTTTGAATAACATCAGTGTGAGATCTATGGAATAATTACTTCACCTATGTTAGCAAATACTGATTCTTTTTGAAAAATTATATATTTATTTATTTGTTATTATTTATTTTTGAATTTGATCAGAGAGACAGAGAGAGAAAGGAAAGAAGAGTGGGAAAGCAAACCACCAGGTCTGGGACTCGAACCATGGTAGGCCATGTGGGAGTCCAGCACTCTAAAATCACACCACCTGCCAGCCCCATGAATACTGATTTTTCGAAGGAGAGAAACCTATTTAAACAATTAGGTAGTTTGTGGTGGGGGGAGAAGTAAACACCTATAGAAACCTTTTTTTCTTTCATCCAAATTTCCCTAAGTGGATACATAACATTTAACTGTTTCATATACTTGGAGGTTTACATAACATAGAACATGTAATATCCTTGTCACACAGAATATACTTTCTCTGTATACACCATTTTTACACCACCCAGAATTACTCATTCTCATTGAATAACACAGATTTTAGGAAGATCTTATTTAAATAAAATTGAAATAAGTCTGTGAAATATTTTGATCAAATTTTCTCAGTCCTTTGCTTGGAAATTATACTAATGATAAATAATGCTCACTAATAATTTCTAATATTTTTCGAGTGACTACTCATGAGATATTCTTCACTGAGTAGATATTATTACCTTTGGGAAGTTAGCATTAAAATACTCATCTTGCAGATGAAACGCAGAGGTTGCATATATGGCCTTTTGTCACAAAACCAAAAGGTGGTAAAGCCAAGATTTTGACTCAGAACTAACTACTGGAGCCCTTGTTCTTTCTATCTTATCATGCTGAGTCCTTGGCTTTTCTGTTTCTATTTTATTTTATTATCTTCCAAACATTTTTTTTCCTTCCATCAAGTCCTCTCTCTCTCTCTCTCTCTCTCTCTCTCTCTCTCTCTGTTTGTTTGTTTGCTTTCTGGTTAAAAGCCTACAATTCCTTCATATGAAATCATTCCCAGATCTTTTATCTCCTAAATGATCTATTAACAGAAAACCCTAATTTATCAACTACAGATGTATACTGAGTATCAACAAACATGAGCTATGTGGGCCAGGCAGTGGTGCAACACTAAAACATGTAGCTCTACCACACTCACCCACATGGGAAAGTTTCAGATTCAAGTCCAGCGACCTCCCTAAGTACTCTGAGATCATGTGTGCCCATGACCCAGGGCTGGATGAGAGATGGGTATGAATCCTGGCATAGGATCCTCTGTTCAGGGTACTTGATATCTCTAGCTCATTTATGAAAGAAATAAATAAACTTAAAAAAAAAAACTGAGCTGGGTATTGAAGCATACACTAGTAAACCAGACAGATAAAGCCCTAGTGCTTATGGAACTTAGTGTCAGCAAAGAAAACAATATTTGTAAAAGCTAATCTTTTAAAGAAGCAAGAAAAGGCAGTAAGGAACTAAAGAGCACATAACTGGGAGAATTCCTATAGTCTGTGGATGAGGAAATATTTTCCCAAAAATGTCACATAATGGGTTGAAATTCAGCCTTTGGGTGACTGGCTTCTTCTCACACACTCTTTGGATTACACACAAACTTCAAATCTCACTCAGGTCAAGAAAACCAAGAAAAGCCATGGTTTCAAGGTGAAAGACATCCCTGTGACTTCCAAGGCTGAAGATAGGATTCAGACTCTCCCTTCATCTGGTAGCTAGGAAACCATGTCGATGACAGGTCCTGTCAATGCCTGGGTGCTTCAGATAAAGAGGACACTGAATCTTGTAGGCAGTCCACTGGTCCTTGCCTGCCCAGCTTTGGGAACTCAGCCACATAAATACTTTGACCAAGATAACCACAACTTATTTATTTGAAATTCTACCCAAAATTTCAAAATATTCTAATATTCCACTGGGAAAACAAAAACAAACACAAAATACTAACATACTGGATTTTTGAAAAGCATCTTTACTACTTATAATGTACAAGTGCATCTCAAAATGACATTGCCATTTTTATGAAATTTTAAAGAATACTTTCTGCCTATAACTAAAGAACATGAATGTATACTTTCTGATAATACTGTCAAGAATTGTAGATCTAACCTGGAAATAACTTGGCATTTTGAGGTAATAGTAAAGTTTTATTTCAAATTGAGTAAAGGTATATATAGGGCCTTGAAAATGCTGCTGATTTATTATTTTTTCAGGAACAAAATTTTACAGATTCAGCTGAAATACCATGGCTTCTAATCTTATAAAAAAAAAATCTTTCACACAGCTGTGTGTCAATTTTTGAAGAAAATAAAACATAGTTAGCTGACAGAGATATTTGTTGTTATGAAAACAATATCTATCTCTGTAGATAGATAAGTCTATCAAATAGGAGGAATATGGTAGCAAAACATTGTTCATTCAAAAAGAGGAATGGGGACTGGAAAAGGTGAAATAAGTCTTGGGATACAGAGTAAAGCATGAAACTAAAAAAACATAGAAATCACATAGCACCTAAGACATCAGAACTCTGCTTAGTTTTGAGGTCAGAGCCCAGACAAGGCAGATAAGATCTTGTTTGGGTCCAAACTTAAACTCATTGATCAGAGTCTTTTGTAATTCTTCCATAACTTTTTAAATAGTTATAAATGATTTTTTAAAAATGTGATTTCTAGGCTGGCTCTGTGGCCTGGTGGTCAAGGTAGCTGGATCTCACATGGCTAACTCCACAGTTCAAGTCCTGGATCCAATGTCTTGAAAAACACACTGGGTGCATGTGCATGCATGCCCAAAATCCCAAAAGGAGGGAGAAATGGTGGACAAGGAATTGTAACATGACCATTCCCTATGGAAAGTATTTTCTTGCTCTCCCTTTCTCTGTTTCTCTGTCTGTCTGTCCCTCTCTCTCTTATTCTTTGTTAAGCACATTTGCTCTATGGCAAAACTTTTCTTAAAAATTGTGATTTCTAGGGACCAGCAGTTAGCGTAATGGCTATGTCGCTGGACTCCCACATAGTCGACTGTGGTTCGTGTCCCAGACCTGTGGCTTAAACTCATGCTGGGCGTATGTGCGTGCATGCCCAAGATCCCGAGAGGAGAATGGAGGAGAAGGGATTGCGGCGTGGCCATCCCCCCGGGGGGGTAATTTCTCGCTTTCTGTCTCTCTGTCTCTCTCTGTCTGTCTGGCGAGCACACACGCCCTATAGAAAAACCCCCCCAAAAAAAAAAAAAAAGAAAAAGAAAAAAATTGTGATTTCTATTTACATATAATCATTGTACCCTTTTGTGGGAGACAGTATGGTTCTTCAAAGCATGTATACCATATGTGATAACTGAATCAATTATATAGATATATTCATCTCGTTTAACATAAAACATTATATTATGTTGTAAATACTTGATAATAGTTATACTAGTTTTTTGTTTTGAGGGGAGTATATACTGAATTGCCAATGACATTGTTTACTCTGCTATGCTATAACATTCCATAGCCTATTTTACTTTTTCATGTGCATTCTTCTGTCTGTTAATCATTTTTCTCCAAAATCTACCCCCAACTCCATGCCTGTGAAGTCTCTGGTATCTACTATTACTCTCTTTAAAAGTAGAGTGAACCAAATGGAGAGAGAGTGAATGATTTGTAGACAAGTCAGAGGCTTCCAGATGTACCTACTTGGGACACTTAAAAAGAAGCAGTGAGGTGATAGAGAATAAAATTCCCAGTATCATATACAATTTTAGAAACTCATACAATCACTATTTTGTTCCTTGATTCCTTTCCTCCCACTCTCCCCTTTCTCCCATC